TGCTAGTGTCTCTATTCCACACTGTCTGAACCCCGTTTCATCTAATATTCTCTTCTTGTGCATTTATTTAGCTTCCACTTAAATACAAATGCCAGCAATGTCCACACTACATGAAATATATTCAGTAATTTGCCTCAACTAACATTTGTGGCATATTCTAATCATTCATAGGCAGACGATGACATTGTGGTTATATCACTGCGCTAGAAGCCTAGAGCCCCAGCTTAATATTCAAAGGACACAGTGCAAATCCTAGAGAGGGAGCGAATAGAATTTAAATTCAATTAATTAATCTGGCAATAAAAGCTGGCCTCATTAATCATGACCATGTCTTTTGTGAAAACCCGGCTGGTTCACTAATGTCCTTCAGGGAAGGAAACTGCCTTTTGGTTTTAGTCGTTCTGGTCTACATGTGACTCCAGACCACTGCAATGTGATTGACTCTTAATCGCCCTCTGGACTGGCCCTTGCAAGACACTCAATTCATGGGCAATTAGAGATAAGATCAGAAATCACATCACACCAGGTTATAGTCCAACGGGTTTATGTGAAAACACAATGTTTCAGAGACTCGCTCCTTCTTCATATGTTACTAAGGTGGTGAATTTAGAAGTAAAAGATCAAAGTGTCACACCAATCATGAGGATATATTAAACAAACCTAAGATACTGTTAAATCTTTAATCTGTCAGAAGGTTTTAATTGATTAATACGTATATGGAAATTCCTAAATTCCTTTCAAGTCATGGTCCCGAGAGAACTAAAGGTTTTGTCAGTGTAAGGAAGAGGTGACATCTTAGGTCAGACAATGCATGTCAGGTGTGAGGCCTTGTTTAGAATCTGTTTGTGTTCTCGTTTGGAGTCAGACTGGTTTTATTTTTAAAGTAGGAATTTATAAAATGCCACTTTGACTAACTGTCTATAAATTGTGTGCTTTTTGAACACAATAGAATGTATCTGCAAGTACAAATTCACCCCATAGATTTACATGTGTATGTGTGTGTGACAGTGACTTGAAAGGAATTTGGGGATTTATATATACATATTAATAAATTACAGCCTTCTAACCGATTGAAGATTTAACAGCATCTTAGGTTTGTTTAATACATCCTCATCAGTGGTGTGACCCTTTGATCTTTTACTTATAATTTCTGATACCACCTCACTAACACCTGAAGAACAAACAAGGGTTCGAAAGCTTGCGTTTTCAAATAAACCTGTTGGACTATAACCCGGTGTCGTGTGATTTCTGACTTTGTCTACCACAGTCCAACACCAGCACCTCCGCACAATTAGGGATAGGCGACAAACGATGCTCTCTCCAGCAAGGCCCAAACTCTGAGACAGAATTAAAAACATGCACTGTCTAGTTTGGCTCATTATAAATCATGAGCAGGCACCTGAGCTGAATTTTATAAATTCATAAAATGTTTATGGCGCAGTAGAAGACAGTTCAGCCCATCATGTCTGTTCTTATTCTCTCGAGAAGGAATTCACTGAGACCCATTCCACCATCTTTTCTCCATAGTCCTGCACATTCTAAATAATCTAATTCCCTTTATAGTACCTCAATTAAACCTGACTCCACCAACACACCTGGGAGTGTATTGCAGATCCTTCACAGAATTTGTACATTGTGGAAGCAGGCCATTTGGCCCATCAAGCCCACACTGACACTCTGACAAGCATCCCACCCCCTTACCCTATTCTATCCATGTAACCCTGCATTTCCCATGGCTAATCCACTTAGCCTACACATCCTGGACACTGTGAGCCATTTAGCATGGTCAATCCACCTACCAACCTGCACATCTTTAGACTGTGGGAGGAAACCGGAGCAAAGCCGCTCAGACACAGGGAAAATATGCAAACTCCACACAGGCAGTTACCTGAGGGTGGAATCGAATCCAGGTCCCTGGCACTGAGAGGCAGCCAACGTGCTACCCCTAACTGTACATTGCATGGGAAAAAATATTTTTCATGCCACTTTTACTTCTTTAAATTGGTGTCTGCTCTAGCCTGTGATCTTCCTGACATTCAAAACTGTCTCTCCAGAAGTGCTCTGCCCAGACTCCTAAACATCTATCAAATCTCCTCTTAACCCTCTCTTATACTGCTGCCAAAGGCACTGAGGCTGTCTGCAGCTGCCCCAATTGGCTCATACACTCCCCATATGTCAGGAGTCAAACTTGGGACCATCCTGGCCTGCATGACTCAGTACTGTAGTGGGTAATGCACCTAATTTAAAGGAATACATATCAGGGCAGACAGAATCTGGTGTATGAACGCATTGATACAAGCTTTGGGTTGTGAGCACATCTGTCATGCACAGGCTTGACTACAGGCCTCCAGTAAGCCAGGAGGATGGCAAAATCTGGCACAATGATACCAATGGACAAAGAATCCATGGACAATAGGCAAATATAATTTAATACAGAGCAGGGTGACATATTTTGGCACAGAAGGTAGAGAAAGCCAGTATGAACTCAATGGATAATGAGTGCAAAGTACTGTGAGTGCTAGAGATCTGAAATAAAGATAGAAAGAGCTAGAATATCTCAATAGGTAGCATCAGTGGAGGGAAAACAAACTTAACATTTCAAGTTCAGTAATGATGTATGGTCTGAATGGCAGAGTCTTAGGGAGTGTATAGGAACAGAGCGACCTGGGGCATGTTCATAGATCTTTAAAGGTCATGAGACTTATTGAGAGGGTATTAGCAAAGCATATGAGATGTTAGTCTTCATTAACTACAGAGGAGGGAAGTTGTGCTGAACATTTCCTTGATGGGCCATACAAGAATATTGCATCCAGCTCTAGCCATCATACTTGAGGAAGAACGTGAGGGTCCCGGGGGAGGGAACCAACAAACCAGAATGGCCTTTGGGATAGGGGATTTTAACCACAAGGTTAGGGTGGAGAAACTGGGCTCGTTCTCCTTGGAGAAAAGGAGGTTGACGCCTTAAACTATGGCAGGTTTAGTTGAAGCGAGCAAATGAATTTGATAGAGTCATGAAAATGGAAGTGTAGGTAGTTTTGGTCACAAAAACAGAAATTGCTCGAAAAAATGTTTCGGCACCTAAGGGTCACTGAACCTGAAATGTTAATTCTGCTTTTTTTCTGCTGATGCTGCTGGACCTGCTGAGTTTTCCTAGCCATTTCTGTTTTTATTTCTGATATCCAGCATCTGCACCTCCAAGAAGAAGCAATTGCATAGTGGTATTATTGTTGGAGTATTAATCCAGCAACGCAGCTAATGCTCTAGGGACCTGGCTTCAATTACCACCACGGCAGATGGTAGAATTCAAATGCAATAAAGAATCTGGAATTAAGGGTCTAATGGTGACCATGAAACCATTGTTGATTGTTTGAAAAAAAACCATCTGGTTCACTAATGTCCTTTAGAGAGGGAAATTGCCATCCTTTACTCCAGACTCTTAAGATTTAGATTTTATTGTCACGTGTTTTCCAGTATAGGAGTATAGTGAAAAGTCTATAATGTCGCCACACATGGCATTAAGGTACCTAGGTACAAAAAACTTAGATACAAAGTAGTAACAGAAACAGAGTTAAAAGGTTAAGCATTAGAATAAGTAGAAAAATAAAGAAGTAAGGTATTGGTTAACATTGAAGTCCTTCTTAATTTTAACTCAGAAAACGAAGTAATTATGTAAAAGTTCAACAACCTTTGATGAGTTCTCCGCTTATCTTGCTCTCCGGGAGACCTCAGCTGCCTGTTCTTGCTGCTGCCACCACAGATACCGGGAGAGCTCCCTCACCGCTCGCTCTCCCCGCGTTGGGCCACGATGCCATCGCTGCTGCCAAAGTTACCAACTCCCTAATCTCCTCCTGCTGCCTCCGGAACGTGCCTGGGCAGGACCCACTCGCAAGCGGAGACATTGCCTCACCGACCCAAGAGACCACTAGGAGCTGCCAAGAGGCCGGCCTAGAGACCGCCATGATCCACCGAGAGACACACGGCCCTCTGGGTCATTACGGATGGCCAATAAGTTCTGTCTTAGTCAGAGACACCGACATCCACAGATTGGATAAAAAAAAAAGGTTTTTTCTTGTTTCTTTATTATTGTTTTAGCTAGTCTTAGGTGATCAGAAGCTCAACTCAGGGTCAATTATACCAGCAGGTTGCGATGAATCTGATTTGGCCTCAGATGGTTGCCGTGGAGACAGATGGAATTGGTAGCTCAGGAACAGATTTTGGAAAGTAGTTGGAAATCAATGATATAGTTTTCCCAGAACTTGTGGAAATTTCTGCCCTTGCATAACTTAAACAGTCTGTTATGGACCAGTCCAATCCCCCTCAAAATATTCAGAAGATATTCTACACTCTAACATAAGGTGTTGCATTCCAGATTTGATTGGTCAAACTACCAGATTTAAAGCAAAACACATTTTATTCATCCACTGTTGTTAAAATACAAGAAAAGGCAGAAGGAATTGAAATAACTTAACCATACGGGAAAACTTAACAGAATAATAGATACAGTAAATATTAGTAATTAACTGCTCCAGTATAGTAACATCTCACAAACACACCATTGGCAAAACAGCAAATTCAGAAAATGGATTGTCTCATATGCAACTCCTGCAGCAGGCAGAGAACCCCCAGCTTTTGGCTGTAACTGAGAGAGGGAAAAAGAAATAGCTTTCATTTCTTCAAGACTCCAACAGCAACTGCTGAAAGCTGAACCTAAAATCCCTGGTTCCGTGAGTGAGAGCTTGACCACACTCATTCAGGCTGCTTCTATTGTTTCAGCTTTTTAATAAAAGCACCCAACGGCTCACAAGTTGTCTATCTTCTCATAGACTGCTTATCATCTGTCCCTTAATCTCTCTCTTAAAGAAACCAGGACAAAACACAGTATCGTCACAAGTTTGATAATATAGCAACAGTGGAGAGGGAAAAGTGAGAAGTGGTGCGACAGAACTAGGTATCACTCTCGCACTTGGGAAAGCACATGGCCACTTACGCTAACTCCTTACCGTGTAAAGCTGCCTCCAGATGATGCCCCATTCTCTCAGTGTGGTAGTGACCTCCTGAACCAAAGGCATTTCTGCAGAGAAGATGTTCTCCCTATTCCTGGAAGGAGGCACACAACTTGGTGAGTATACAGGGACAGGTATTGTGCGACTCCACACTGTAGCTTCCACCATCTGTTAGTGCCAGCTTTCAGTTTTCAAATCAATACACAAAAGTAGCTGAAGTACTAGCTGGCTAAAGCACAGAGCATTGTTTTTCCATGCACAGTGCACAGAATTTATTGAACAGAAGTAAACCCTTCAGCCTAATTAGTCTGTATCACATGAATATTATTTCACACGTCTTCATCCAAGATTATCATCCTGTGTTTCTATTTCTTTTACCCTCGTATGTTTTCATCCAAATGCCTGCAGTTTTTCTTGTTTAAATTTAGTGCAATGGTTTTGGAAATCATTAGAATGCCTCCTGTCAATTGAAAGTTCATCATTTAATTTTTAAGGACTAAGCCAATGCAGCAGTAAAGTAGCAGAATGTGGATGTTGGGAATTCAAACACAAAGGTCTGAGGGACTGGCCATCCGTTATACACCTTGAATAAAGGCAAAACACTTTGGATGGTGGAAGCCAACACAGAAAATGCTGCCAGAAACTCAGCAGGCCTGGCAGCATCAGTGGAGAGAGAAACAGTTATGTTTCAAATCCAGTACAAGTCATCTTCAGAACTTCAGTGGGAGGGAGAGTTGACTGGAAAGGTAAACAATGCTGGAAAGTATGTGCAGCATCAATGTCTCATCATTACCGCCTGTACCTTACTTTCTATTGTAATCTGTCAGGTCTCTTCAAGAAATCTAACAGATTACCAAGTTAGTTTAAATTGTTAATATTAACTTTTGACACTGGATGATGTTTTAAAGCTATTGGGCAGGAAGGAGATTTACCACTCAGCATACAGAAACCCTCTGTGAACTGCCCAAGTCAATGGTCTACACTTCACTGACTCTTCTCATAGAATCCCTACAATGTGGAAACAGGCCACTCAGCCAAACAAGTCCACACCGACCCTCCAAAGAACATCCCATCCAGACTCACCCCCTTTACCGTATGCCTGTAACCCTGCATTTCCCACGGCTAATCTATCTAAATTACATATCTTTGGACTGGGGGAGGAACCCGACATAGACACAGGGGGAATGTGAAAACTCCGCACAGACAGGTGAAATTGAACCCAGCATCCTGGCGCTATGAGGCAGCTTGCTAACTGCTGAACTACTGCGCCAGCCTGTTTTTTCCTTCTTTTGACATCTGCAAAAGCCTTTGGCAAAGCCTGTCTTAAGCCTGCGTTTCTAAACAAGTCACCATCACTTAGATCCACACAAACCTGTCTTCAGCACGTTCACCTTCTCCTCAATCTACTCTGTGCTCAGTAAGTGACATATCCTGCAATACTTTTACCAGAGTTTCCAGCCTTCTCCTTCCTCCTATTAAATATTGTCCCCACACATGACCCAGCATAACATGGTTTTGAACCATCAGCGTGTCAATTTCCTGAAGCCTGACCTTGCTGTTTCACTGTGATAGTAATCCTGCTGCTTGGCTTGGTCTTTCACTTGGTTGGTGGTCTTAAACATTGACTCAGCTACAAGAGCACAGTGGGTGCTTATATCCTAACCAGCACCACAATAAAGACTTGAGCCCTAGTTTTCTGAGGAGTTCCACAGCCGAGCCAGGGCTGACACTAAAAAGTTTGAAGTTGGCACCTCAGATACCATTAGTTGGCTTGCAATCAAAGAAACCACTAGACTAAGCACAGGATTATTGCTATAACAAGCACACTTGTTGTCTAGTGCTGAACAGTCCAATTCTGAAGGTTCATGTATCATAAAGTGGATGGAGACTGTCAAAATGCATTTCAAGTTGGAACTGTTGGAGTTAACGACGAAGATTTTCTGCTCATCAGTCCTGGTTACAGTCACACCTTCATCCCACAATGTGATTCCCCATAAATGGCTGGACACACTCTAACTACTCTACTGACAGGCGTACAATACACCTATATATGGGCAGCTCTCCCAACCATTTACAAATGCAATCCAAAAGCAAGTTAACATGATACGTTGCTGTGTAAGCACAGTGCAACTGCAGCAGTAATGACAGTGTGCTGCGTTGGCACTCACAACAAAAGACAAAGTTTAAAACAAAAGCTTTGCTAAAGAATGACATTAATAGGCTTCATTTTTACTTCATACCCTCGCTTCTCGATGACAGCCTCTTTAATATGCACAAACGCTACTGGAAATACACCCTGCAAAGGAAATAAAGTCTTCATTAGCAAGTGTCACCACAGGTTTCAAAACTGTGTCCAAGTTTTTTCTTGGTGTTCTTCTCAATGTAAGCAAAATCAGCAGAGCACTTGGTACGGGATGAAAACCAATATAAGCCGTTCAAGTATAACTGACAAAAAAACAGATTTTTAAAAATAACTACAGATAAGGAATGAGATTGCTCTTGTTATCAATTACTATTAACAACATCAGAAAAACAAGACTATTTCCTCTGATCACTTGTTTAGGAAATTCTAAAAGCACTGTCTTTCAACAGTATTATATTTTGCTAGGCATAGAATTGCCCAACAAGGGGAGTGACTATGGGATATTAATGGGTAACAAAGGATATGTTGCCTTGAATGTGGAAGAGAGGGGTCAATAGGAATAGAGTAAAGACAACACTAATATCTAATCCCAGTGCAGCAGCTACTGTGTTCCAGGTGTCTGACACTATTAAGGTAAGGGCACTGTCATTGACATCACTGAAATGGTCTTATTACAAACATTGGAAACAATGATTCAACCTTTATACCCTTAACAACTACATTACACACAGTCAAACCTCAGCAAAGGGTCACTCTGTCTCCAGTTTAAAGCTCTTTGTTCAGCTGGCATGGTAGTAATTAGTTTCCTGGAACTTTCTTACTGACATCTCAACACTTTTAGACCAAAAACTAGAGGTTTTCATACTCTCAGCTTCCAGTTAATTTCTGCTTCTGGAGTCTTCCTCCAAATCACTCAAGACAGTTCCCCAGCCCTTACTTGCTGGAGATGCTAACTAACAACATCTCCATCAGCACTCGGGTCATTTTAGCTTATTTGGCTGGATGGCCGGTTTGCAACATAAAGTGATGCTGACAGCATAGGTGGGTTCAATTCCTGCATGAGCTAAGGTTACCATGAAGGATTCTTCCCTGTCCCCTTGACTGAGATGTGGTGATCCTTATGGTCTAGGGAGACTGTGGCAACTTTACCTTTTCTGCTCTGACTGAACCTACAAACCATTGGCACCCTGTGATATTGGACTTCTGTCACTATGCGTTTTTTTATTATCTTGTTTCTAATGTGTTGAACTGTTAACCTCAATCATGTTAAAGACCTTAATTATATACAGATCAACAAAGTGTAAGATACCCCAACTTAAAATTAAAACTGTATTCTCCCCATAATACACACAATACAGAAACAAAAATCAAATTAGTTGGTCCTCTACTTTAGAACATAAGCTTTCAAATGCTTATACTATAATATGAATTTTCATCACAGCAGGTACTTTATAAATGCTTAAGATAAAGCATAGCATGCCAAGATGAATGTGTTACAGAACATTATGAGTAAATGTTGATAGGATTTTAGATGAGGCAATGAACACATAGCTTGCATCTAACATTGACTTACCTGCTGTGACTTGTTTTTCATCAAGCACCCTCTGTACCAACCTGAAGGGAAGAGAAATATAAGTATAACTGAGGGCTATGTTTAGTTGAGATTCCCTATGAAGCAGAATTCAATAGGACTTTATACTACAGGAAAAGGCCATTCAGTCAACAAGTTATGTTTTATGCTTCATTCTAACCTCCTCCCAAGCCTTGCTTTGTCTAACTTTATCAGTGTACCGTTTAATTCCTTTCTGCACCATCTACTTATCTAGCTTCCCCTAAAAGGCATCTGTCTATCTCCATTTAGTAATTATCTACTGCTATATAACACAAGTGCTAAATTATACAGTAGTGAGTACGTTTGTTCCTTGGGGGAGAAAAGGAAACATATTGTGAGGAGGTCTAGCCATGTGGCATAGATGAGACTGATTTCTGAGGGAATCAGTGCTCTCAGGATCATGGCTGCGATCCCAGCACCTGTGTGTGACCTGCTCAGACCCATCGTCAACCTGAACCTCCAGCTCGTTGGACCAGCGGGCCAGGAGGTAATATTTTGGTTAGCTCCTTGCTGTCAATCACACAGGTCCTAAGTGGAGTTGAATGCACAATTGTCAAACTGGTATTTTAAGCAGATGCAATGAGTGGCCAATGGTTTATGCAACAGAGGTCTTCAAATTCTCAAAGGATTTTTTGGACTCAGAAAGATATGTGTCAAGCCATGAGGCTTCTATCTGTCTGTGCGTAAGGCTAGATGAGAAAAGTACCACGATCCATCCAATTCATGTTCTCCCAGCTGCTTGTTGCATGATGCAATGAAAATGAAATCGTATTGCATGGCTGTATTTATCTCTGTTCGCATGTTATTGTTTTGAATTAAAAAGCTCTGAAGAAGCATCATACAGGATGCAAAACACTAGCTCTTTCTCTCTCTGCGGATGCTACCATACTGCTGAGTTTCTCCAGCATTGTTTGCAATTACAAACTAAGGTTTATTTGGAACGAATTGCCATAAATGGAAAATCCATGCCCTTGAACACAACAAATTGGCCAGTTTCAAAGCAGAGCAAAATAAATTATTTGATAAAGGTCACAAATCTAATCATTGGCATTCTCACTGAGCTCTGTATAAAATCAATTGCACATTAACCGTGTTCAATGTACCAATACTAAACTTGGGAACAATGAGCACTGAATTACAAATGCCTGAATAAATGAGCTTTTGCAGATGTTTACAGCTTTCTTCTTAAGCTTTCCACCATGGAAAGATAGTGCTGGAAAATGATTAGAAGGAGAATGTAATGATTGTAATGAAGTCGACAAGGTGGACCTTACAGAATACGACTTCCCTGATTGGGGCTGTTAATCTGGTCCAATCAGGATGCCCTGGATGACAGACATAGACAGGAGTGTCAGAGGTTCTGTTCTTAGAGCTGGCTCTGAGAAAACTGAATCAGTGTCAAGGACTCTCCATGCATAAATAAAGGGTGACTCGGTGATTGGATACAGGCGTGTGTAGTGTTATCACAGCGGTGACAAGAGAAAAGCATGCACCTGAAGAAATTCACTCGAAACACTTGTCTTTGAGTTATGGTAAGCAAATCTGGTATCATGCCATTATTCAGGGAGCTTGACTTGTTCAATCCTACCATCAAAGATTGGGCCCAGTATATGGAAAGAATGCATTTTTTTGGGCAAATTACGTTGGGGCAGATGAAAACCAACAAGAAATTCTGCTGACAGCTTGTGGACCTGCAGTTTTGTTTTCAGTTATCAGGAGCCTTACTTTCCCTGAGGCACCAGATACTAAAACCTTTCAAGAATTGACAGATTTAGTTAAGGAATATTATACCCCAAGCCTCCTCTAATTCTAAGACGCTATCGGTTTTACTCAGCAATTCAAGAACCAGAGGAATCCATATCGGGATTTTTGACAAAATATAGACGACTGGCAAAGGCTTGTGATTTTGTTTTAACCCTTAACGAGATCATGAGAGACCAGTTAGAATGTGTGATTAATGATGTAACCATGTAGAAGTGTTTCAACTTATAATTATATGCACATAGTATTAGAGCCCATCGCTGAATTCGGTCTGAAGCTATGAGTGGCACTGTCCTGTTTAAGTTCCACCAATACCTTGACAGAAATAAATTTGTAATAATAATGGACCACAAACCCCTAGCTGAAGCCCAACTGGACTTTAGACAGGCACGGCAACTGGTTTTATCATTGGAAAATGCAGCAAGTGGAGCATATGAGTTGCAGGGCATTCTGATGGAAGTGGAAACCAGTCCGACTGATCTTGGGGAACATCACTTGAGTGAAGGCAAATGTATAGCCTCAATCAAGACATTCCCTGAACAGAGGGACTCTAGGTCAGCCCACAGCAAAACCCCAAAATGAAGCCAAACCTTGGCCAAACGGTTAAAATTTTCTCTAGGATCCGGGATGGCAAACCAATGTAGTTGCTGCCGGTATGTGGACTCGAGACAGCAAAAGAGCCCTAGTGGACCTAAATGGACTAAGAGAACTCATAGGCCAGTATTGAGGAGAGTGCACACCCTGAAAGTCCACCTACATCTGGTTTGGAACAATTAAATTGCTAAGTAACATCCGAATCAGAACCAATCAAAATAAACGTGTGGTTAAAAGGTCTCCCAGTTCTAATGGAGGACGATACCGGTGTGGCCATTTCAGTTATTGCAGAACTAACCTTGATGAAAACATAATCTGGACTCAAACCCTTAAATTTGCACAATACCGCGCAAATTCTACAGATTAAGAGTACAACCTCAGTTCTGGTCTCTACGAGAAGCAGCTGATTCAGTTAACACCAATTGTTGTAAAAGGCTCAGGCCCAAGCTTGATGGGGTGAAATTGGTTGAGAAAGATTGACCTAGATTGGCTCAACGTTTTCCGATTAGAAAATGGCTGCCTGAGTGAAGCCTTAATTAAATGCCCAGATATTTTTCAGGTAGGTCTAGGAACTATTAAAGGGGTCAAGACCACCTTGCATGTTGACCAGGAAGCAATTCCACGATTCTGCAAGGCCCACTCAGTGCCATTTGCCTTTGGGGCAAAAGTGGCGGCAGAAATCAGGAAGCTGGAGAGCAAAGGAAGGTGGAATGGGAAACATCGGTCATACCGATTGTGATGCCCGATGGGTTGGTTCACGTTTGTGGGGATTTTAAACAAATAGTAAACCACTTTTCACAGCTGGATGAATACCCAATCCCTCGCATAGAGGATTTATACGCAAAGCCGGCAGGGGCTGCTGTCCTCCACTAAGCTGGACATGAGCCATGCATACTTGCAGGTGCGGTTAGAGGAGGATTCTTAGAGGTATGCTACAGTTAATATACATAAGAGTTTGTACCAATATACCATTTGGGGTATCGTCACCCTGTGAAATTTTTCAGCGGACAGTGGAGAATATTTTATGAGGTCCACCCCAGATTGCCATTTATCAGGATGATGTGCTAAAAGCAGGGAAGACTAATAAGGAGCAGTTGGAGAACTTGGACATAGTCCTTAGATGATTCTTCCAGGTGGGCATATGCCTTACATGAGAAAACTGTGTTCTAGGCACCCCAAGTGACCTACTTGGCTACAGAGTTGACAAGATGGGGTTATATCCATTGGCACCCAAAGGGTATCCCAGTTCCCACATCGGTACTGGAGCTTAGGTCTTTGCTGGTGAACTAATACGGAAAGTTCATACGTATCCTGGCCTCCATCCTGGCACCTTTGGTTCAACTCTCAAAAAAGAATCAGCCTTGGAAATGGTCATGTAGCCAAGCTATAGCTTTCAGGGAAGTGAAGAAACAGCTATCATCCTCTAAGGTGTCGGCACACTAAGGTCCCAAGCAAGGTCTGGTATTGGCATGTGATGGCTCCTTGTACTGCATTGGCATAGTATTAGCTCATAGGTGGCCCAATGGAGAGGAACGCCCAACAGTGTATGCATCCAGCACTTTGTCTAATGCAGAGCGTAAATAGGCCCATACAGAAAAGGAATGTTTGGCAGTCATATTTGGGGTCAGGAAGTTCCACCAATACCTTGACAGACATAAATTTTTAATAATAATGGACCACAAACCACTGCTGGGTCTACTTAAATAGGACAAAGCAGTGGCACCCATTGCTTCAGACTGAATTCAGCGATGGGCTCTAATACTATGTGCGTATAATTATAAGTTGGAACACCGTCCAGGAGGCCAAGCAACAAATGAGAATGCATTGAGATGCCTACATCACTGAAAGATTCCGTACTGGTTTTAAATTTTCTGGAAACACTTCCAGCCACAGCTGATACTATTAGACTTTGGACGCAGAAAGATCTGGTCCTGACAATACAGACACTGGCAGCTGGTGATGAAAGGGGAAACCAAAGGGCCAGAATTGAATCTTTTTTTGGATCCAGAGAGACCAAATCACAGCAGAGGACCGCATTTAACTAACTTTTGAAGGCTGCAATCGAATTGGTACCATCAGTTACTCAGCCAGTGTGTAGTGATTGTAACAAGGTCAGCCAGGTGGACCTCATAGAATATGAGTTCCCTGATTGGGGCTGTTAAGCTGGCCCAATCAGGGAGCCCTGACTGACAGATGAGAGCAGGAGTGTCAGACATCCTGTTCACCCTGAGAGCTGGCTCTGAGGGAAGTGGATAAGTGTCAAGGACTCTTCACATGTGAGTAAAGGTGACTTGGTAATGGGATACTGGCCTCTATGGTGTTATTTCAGAAAAACGTCTCTGTAGGAATATGATAGAGGAAAATTGGTGTGGGAATGATCATGCAACAGTTGTTCATGTTCCCTGATCTCCACAAAAATATATTTACTTCTCTGCTTACTCATACCAGGCTATGAATGTGGGCTTTCAACCTGTATTTCTTCCATAGACTACTATTACTGTAGTTACAAGTCTCTTTTCAACCAGTGTCCAGATGTCAGCTTACCTTCATACTTTTCCAGGATTTGCACTGTGTCCCCAACACATAGTGAGAGCTGTGGATCCCTCTGTGCCTCAAAGTTAAAGATGGCTGGAAACAAAATAAAAGATAAACAAAATTAGCTGACATCATCGTGATCAAAAATGACCATTTTCATTTTCGCACAAGTCCTTTAATATTGCTTATTCAGTAAAACTTTGATCAGAGTTTTGTCACACTATTATAATCACTGAAATCTGGCATATATTCGAAGTTAGCTTGTGGCTCCATTCATTTTAAGTACCAGAATTCACAGATTCACAAGGCTGGTGACATTCTGGAAGGTAGAGCAGCTGATGACCTTAGTTATGATGAAAGGTCATGAACTGGAAATGTCATTAATATCATAGTACAGCTTTCTCTGAAAAAAAAATTAAGCTGAATTCAAATTTCACCATCCGACATTAGTGGGATTTGAACACATGTCCCCAGAACATTAGCCTGGGACTCTGGATTACTAGCTCAGTCACATTACCACTATAATACTGTCTCCTCTAATTGTTATCTGTCAAAGGCATGATAATTCAGGGTAGAAGATGTGGAATGCACTGTCCGCACTGTCTTGTATCGTGTCATGTGCTACACTACAGTTTCTATTATACTCTACATTATTCTGATAGTGGTAAACATGGATAATCGAATTTTATCTTCTATCTCCTGATTGTTATACCTATTATCTTTACACAATAGAAGCATTGAATCCCTACAGTGTGGAAGCAGGCTATTTGCCCCACTGAGTCCACACCAGCCCTTTGAGCATCCCACTCAGACCAACCCTCCCCTAACTTATTCCCGCATTTACCAAGGCTAACCAATTTAACCTACACATCCCTGGGCAATTTAGCATGGCCGAACTACCCAAGCTGAACATCTTTGGACTGTGGGAGAAACCCTGAGAAACTGGGGAGAACATGCAAGCTCCACACAGACAGTCACCTAAGGCTGGAATTGAACCCGGGTCCCTGGTGCTGTCAGGCAGTGAAACTAACCACTGAGGCACATGCTATCCCATAAAAAGAGAAATATGGACCAAAAATGGCAGCAGTGGTCACCTGAACACAGAGTGAAGCAAGCTTCAGGAGACCCATGCGAAATGAACAAAACCATCTGCATTGAAATTACTATTGTTTACCTAACCATGTCACAACAAGGAAACAGAGTTAGCAACAAGCAATTCCTACCTCCTTTTTAATTCACATTTTGTGTGATACTTGCACATGTCAGGAGAAGAGAGACTCAGCTGCAAGTTATCCAGCTTGGAAAGACAACAGAACTACGCAGGAACATGCAAATGAGGTGCAGGAGTAAGCCATTCAGCACCTCGAGCCTGTTCTGTCATTCAGTCATATCGTGGCTGATCTGATGACTCCACATTCCAACCTACTCACAGATAAGCTTTCGTCCCTTTTAGATTTAACTTGGGAATCTATTTATCTCTGCCTTAAACATAGTCAAAGACTTTGCTTCCATCTCCCTTTGAAGACGTGAGTTCCAAAGACTCGGAAAAGATGTCTCCTCAGCTCTGTCTTAAATGTTGTTAAACAGTGACCCACCAGTTCGAGATTCTCCCACAAGAGAGACATCCTTTCCACCTCCATTAAACTTCAGCTTATGGAATGAACCATATTTCAGCAGTTTTATTTTGAGCAGCAGAGCGGTCGGAAGAATATTAATTCACATTTACAGATCCTGGAAGACTATTTTTTCCTCTCTCTCTCTGTCTTGCCCCCTGTTCTCCCACCATCTTGGAAAACCGTGCCAATGAAAATGCAAGTTGGGAAAGCAATCCCAGACTCAAAGGTTTGGGCAGATTCTTCCACTGCTATGGATGTTTAACAGACCGTTATCTGTATGTTGAATTAGACAGCAAAAGATCTTCAGAGATTGACAAGGACTTTTATTGTAAATCTATAGTTTAGCATAAAAGCCAGTTTCCACCATTCCCTATTCAGTAGCTAATACCTGACCCCAGCTCTTAAATACAAAATCCAATGAGTATTACTTGCTCTCAATCAAGCCAGGAGCTGTTCTGGCTAATCCATAAAGGGACTTGCATTTCTAATCAGTCACCAATTAACCAACAGTGGCCTCAGGTTTGAAATCTAATACCTCAATGATTCTGATTTCTAAACTGTGCAGCCTTATTATTTCCTGTCTACTCCAGGCACACTCCCTTCTAAACCTGTTACCTGCATTTGTACGTATCTTTGCAGGCTGATTTTCCTTTTTATTTTTCCTCATGCTTGATAATTAATAGAATTCCTCTTTCCATAACTCAAAGGAAGCCCGACATTGGCTCCTTCCATTTCTAGTGAGCTACACCTTATTCATAGAATCCCTACAGTGTGGAAATAGGCCATTCAGCCTATTGAGTCCACACCAATTCTCCAAAGAACCTTCCACTGAGACCCACACCCCCTATCCCATCCCTGAAACCCTGTTAATCTACCGAGCCTGCACATCCCTGGACACTCTGGGCAATTCAGCATGGCTAATCCACCTAACCTGCACATCTTTGAATTGAGAGAAGAAACTGGAGCATCTGGAAGAAACCCACACAGACATGGGGAGAATGTACAAACGCCACGCAATCAATTACCCAAGGCTAGAATTGAACCCAGGTCCCTGGTTCTGTGAGACAGCAGTGCTAACCACTGTGCCACTGTTTTTAATTGAAGTCTGTTAGCTGTAGGAATCCATAGGATCCCTACAGTGTGGGAACAGGCCCTGCGGCCCAACAAGTCCACACCGACCCTGCGAGCATCCCACCAGAACCATTCCCCAAACCCACCTGATCTACACATCCCTGAACACTATGGGCAATTTAATATGGCCAATCCACCTAGCCTGCACATCTTTGGACTGTGGGAGGAAACCGGAGAACCCGAAGGAAACCCACGCAGACACGGGGAGAATGTGCAAACTCCACACAGACAGTTGCCTGAGATTGATATCTAACTCGCTGTGAGGCAGCAGTACTGACCACTGAGCCACCGTGCTGCCCCAAATTTTAAAAATCACTTGCCCATACTGAGAGGGTTAAAAGAGGGGCACCAATTTCCCCCTCCTGTAACAACGTGTGGGTTGTATTTTACACTGTATGCTTGTCTAATCTCTTTGCTGTCGAGTACACTCTCCCCTGTGATAGCAGACTGCACAGTCATTGGTTTCTTAAACTAATTTTACAATTCTGACACGAAGGGAAAAAGTAAAGGCGATATTTTAAAAGCTAATTCAAAAACAGGTGAAAGCAGCACAACAACACTTTTATTGAAAGTAGAAATGAAAATAGATTTCCCAGATTGCCTGGTAATGGCTGCTGACTTGTGTCTGAGAGAACATGTGTTGCCATGATGGATGGGTCATTGCTTTGGAAATTCTATTACCTGCCCGCTTGCAAACAAAATGTACAAGCAATAAATTAAAATGTATTACTGAGGAGCAAAATGGCACTGCATCAAAGGTTGCCATGTTATTTTAGTTTGCAAGTGGCAGAGTGAGCAGATGGCCCTCCTGCCTCTTGCCCACCTGCCTTCCCATCTCATTTCCCAGATACTGGAGAGCGCAGCAACTCACACAGGGCATTCAGTGCCAGGCTTGCCACTTTGGCTAAAGTAATCTCCGCTCTGAGAACTACTTGTCTCAGTGCCCTTGACCCTCAGCACAGCGCCTTTGGAAAATAAAGGCAGCACACGAGCAGTGGGAGCCCGCAAGATGTAAATCTATCCAAGGACAAGTAATTAAATCATGGCGTCAATGGTGTTAATTAAGTTTCTGGCCCCTGTCATAAGATGCTACCTGTTGGATTGCTGACTTTACCCAGCAAAGAAGCTGGGCTCTTATCCTTTGACTGCTGTGGTCTCTGAAAGTGACAGACTGCACAACTAGAAAATTAGGATTATCAGGACATTATTTCTAACAGACTGCGATCAGTTTACACAACCCACAGGATGTCACCTTTGCTGGACATTTTTACGAGCAAGTGAAGCCTCCAAATGCTATTTGCTTTTCTCAATGCTTCAGTCCCCATTGAGGCTTGAAAGGCTTAGTGTTACATTCGAGCAGCATTTATGAAGCTGGACAATATTATTGCTGGGGATTGGGGATGCAGCAGGAAATAAAGGAAAGGAAAAGTTAAAAAAAAAGAGAGGGAGCGCAAGAGAAGATGGGAAGGGGGGGAGAAAACTAGAAAAGAGGATACTGTACTTCTGTCATTCCTTGCAAAATCTCAGTTTTGTAGCCAATGCAGTATTTTTCAAGTAAAAGTCACTGCTGTAATTCTGGAAATGTGGCAGCCAATGTAAGCACACAAAACTCCCTTAAAAGGTTTGTGAAACAATTTATTTTTAAGGAGTTGGCTGTGCAATATCAACCATAACAACAAAGAAAACTGTTTGCTCTTTTTTTGAATAATGTCACGGAATCTGGCAATGCCATCCGAGAATGTAGATGGGGCCCTCGATTTAGCACCGTATTTAAATGTTTGTATCTCCACCAGTGCAGTACCAACCTCAGTGCTGCGGTGCAGTAACGTTTTGACGCTTAAGACTCTGTATTAGGATTTGAAACTACAACCTTCCAACTCTAAAGTGACAGTGCTAGTTGATGCATTTTTGGAGTTCAAATACAAGGGGCAAGTGTCCAGTATAATGGCAGAACCCTTAGGAGCATTGGTGTATGGAGGAATCTTCGGGTGCCAGTCCATAGTTCCCTGAAAGTGGCAACACAAGTGGATAAGGTAATAAAGAAAGCAGACGGCATGCTTGCCTTCATTGGTCAGGGCATTGAGCTTTTTATTTATACATTCCCAGGAAGTCAGTGTCATAGGCTGGGTCAGCATTTATTGCCTAGAGCAAAAAAAATGTTACTGTAAAAGCTCAGCAGGTCTGGCAGCATCTCTGAAGAAAAAAATTCAGAAGTTAACGCTTCTGGTCCAATAACACTTCCTCCGAACTGATGGTAGCTGGGAAAACTTTGGTTTATATGCAGAAAATAGGGAGGGGGATGGGGTAGGGAGTAAATGATACGATAAAGGATAGGGTCCAAAGAGA